GTTTATCCTTTTGTTCAGAACTGATGGATGCTGTACCTTAGATAGAAATTTCATGGTATGAAAGAATATAAAGTGAAATATTTGCCAGTATCCAATGCCCAATATTCACATTCTGACTCACAGCAACTTTGTAAAACTTTGTTTCCCTTTTAGTATAATTCAAAACATATGGTCTCACAGCTATCTATCTATCTATCTATCTATCTATTGATTTATCTATCAATCCATCTTTCTTTCACACATATATATACATACCCAAGTGTCAATTTTATGTATTAAATATTTTTTACAAACTTAAAATGTTAGCATTATAAAAACAAAATAATAAAATAATTTAGTGATGGCAATAAAAAAGCCAGCTAAGAAAATGACAGCTGAGGATTTTCTTAGGACTTTGTCTGTCCTGTTCAGAATTACTAATAAACTTTATTGTAGCACAAAGAAAGACTTATCAGGCCTCAAAAATAGCAATTTGTGTTTAATGGGGCCTTTAGAATTCTAATACCAGGATTAGATTAAATTAATAGGGAAAGCTGTACAAGGCATTTCAGTGACTATTAAATAGTTGGCAAATTTTATTATGAATACCTTCAGGGAAACAGACAGGAATTTAAAGCCTGACTATAGAAAACATGCACAATCAAACAACTCTTGAACATTTGATTGTAGTTCAAGAAAGACAATGGTCTATAATCAATCAAAGTAGCTCTGTCTTCCTAGTTCAAGATGAGTGCATTAAAACCAATATAAATGCAATCCAGGCTGCAGTAAACCTCTGGAGAATTATACTTGTGACAAACTAGGGTGTCTTTTAGGCCCATCCTAGACCTAGCAAAGGCAACCAAACCTTAAAGATCAGTAAGATACAGCCTGGTAGTTTTATGACGTGAATTTTGCTTTCTGACAATAAAGTGCTAGTATAAAATTGTCTTGCTGAAATGCAGGTTAAATCCTAACAAAGCAGAGAGTTTACACATTAATGTCACTAAACATAATATTGTAAATATTCCATATATCCAGCTATAATTGACATTACTGTATGTAGATAATGGTGACCCTTACAAGGGCCAGAGATTCACAAACTTCCCCAAAGTACTAGTTAGCCCAAATAATTACTCTTTTCTAAATTAAATTGACACTGATTATATACTTTAACACACTTTTAGGATTCCACCAATTCATACAACTCATAAATTGTTTGTTTGGTTGATGAAGTAAAGTCATGTATTACACAATCAGTCAGTGTAATGACTGACACCATTCTGTCCTGTTGCAATGCAAACATAAAGCCTTTGTTTTTTAAGTAGTTTACAGAATGGATGGAACCTTTTCTTTCCAGTGGATTTTTTAGTATATTTTACTAATTTATTTCATTGCTCTACATTTGAATTTCTTACTTCCTTCTTCTGCTACATTTCCTTCGGTGTTAGTGAACATTCTAAATATGGTTTCAGAGAGGATTGTTCAGTTAATAATTTTCTTGGGCCTTATACAACTAAAAAAAAATCACTTTTATTAGTTTCTCACACATAATTTTACATAATTCTCTTGCTGAAGCCATATGGAAAATGTACGTATCATAAAAATACAATACTATAAGTTATCATATAGAACCACAAACAGATGAAGAAAAAGAATATTTTCAACATCTTATAGCCTGCCTCATGCTTCCTTTGAGTTACCACAGTACCTTGGGCAATCGTTTTCTTGATATGTAATATAATACCATGTGTTAGTTTTTAAAGTTTATAGAAATCAAATGACAAATGTACTATTTTGTGTTTGGCTTTTCTAATTCAGTGGTATTGTTTCAGAAGTACCTGTAATTTTTCATTCTCAATGGTGAATAACATTTCATTATGTGAATATATTACAATTACTTTATCCAGTCTGATCTTGATGGATATTTGGTTATGTTGCCATCTTGAAGCTTTCACCGTACTTCAAACATTTTTACAGATATTTTATGGTACACATTTTATTGGGAATATAGCTAGGAATAAAATTGTTAATGATACTATATGCATTTTTTCAGCTTTAGCGGACATTAGTAAATGGATTCCCAAGGCAATTGTATCATTTTACATTTCTATTTTTAACAAAAGGAAGTTCTCATTGCACCACATGTTTGCCAGACTTGGGATAGTTGATATTTTTTGTAATATATATTTTCATATTAGATTTAAGGGGCACGTGTGCTTGTCTGTTGGGTATTACATACATAATTATGAGGATTTGGGATTCTAGTGTATTCATCACCTAAATATTAAACTTTGTACCCAGGATGTAATTTGTCCACCCTACCCCCCAGGATAGTCAGTCTTCTTAAATGTAGCCATTCTTTTGGATGTGAGGTGATATTGCATTATAGAACTTACTTGCTTTTATTGATAACAAATAATATTGAAAACCTTTTCATATGTTTCTTGGCTATCTTGATAAGCTCTATTGTGAAGTGTCTTATAAATAATTTTGTCCTTTGAAAAGAGGTTGTATGTCTTTTTTATTTGTAGGAATATTTCATATTCTTCTAAATGTCCTAGAATATTCTAAATTTTGACCTTCCTTATATTCTAAACATCGGTCCTTTGTTGCTTATGTATAATGCAGATATCAGCTCCCACTGTGTGGTTTCGCTTTATGCTCTCTTAATGGTGTTTATGAAAAACTACAAGTTTATTCTTTGTTGCTTAAAGCCACAGAAATGTACTATTTCACAGTTCTGGGCCGCAGAAGTCTGAAATCAGTATTGCTAGGCCCATGTCAGGGTGTTGTCTGGTCACACTCCTGACGTTCTAGGCAAATCTGTAATTGGTCTTTAGCCTAATGATAAGTATTAATAATATTATATTTGCAACTATATATAGCTCTTATATATCATTTATATATTATATATAACTACATATATACATGCGTGCCTGCATAGATAACCTGCAATCCCAGTACTTTTTATTAAATAGACTACCCTTTCAACTATACTATAATAAAACTTTGCCCTATATTAGGTAATCATAAATTTCTATGTCTCTCTCCCAACTATTCTCATCCATTGGCCTATTTGTCTCCCTGTATGCCAATACAATATACTTACCTTCAGAGAGGAGGCATATGATGCTGGCTGCTAGTCTGATAGTCACATTTTTGTCTTTCACTCTTTACTAAGGTGCCTTTAGGACCTCTGACACCCTTTCCAACCAAGGTAATAAATTGGCAGTGCAAGTGCAATCTGGGCAATTACAACCTCTCCTCCAGAGAAAACAACCAAGGGACTCTAACATGTTTTAGTCACCATAGAAACCTTTCTTCTGAAGTTCCTGTTACAAGAGATAAAATATCTTATTGTTTAAGGCATTTAAAGTCATGTATTTAGTTATTTATATGTTTAAATATTTTAATTGATACTTATAAAAATTAACTCATGTTTAAGTCTCTCAGGATTTTGTAGAAATTGCTTTATTTTCTTCTTTAATTTGGTGAGGTAAATTTTAAAAATATCAAGTCAATTTAATGATCATTTATTTTAAAAAATGATGTTTTAGTATGGGTGTGAGTGTGAGTGTAGGTCTCTTTTCTACTTCTGAATGGTTTGAATGTTTTTTCTTATCTTTGATGCTGTAAAACTTAGCACTTAAGGGTCCTTCTGATTTGGAAACTCATAGCAGTTTTTAATTCTGGACAGTGTTCCTTCGTTATGTTCACTTGCTAGTAATTCCACTATAGCACATATAGTAACAGTAAGCTTAGTGAACTTAGGTTGTGTAGACAGCTAAATAATGACCACCTAAAGACAATGCGTCCTACCTCCTGAAATCTACAAATGTTACCTTGCAAGGAAAAAAGGTCTTTGTAGATGCAACTAAAATAAGAATCTTGATAGAGCACTATTATTCTGAATGATCTGGTGGGTCCCAAATGCAATCACATATGAGGGAGGGCAGGGGGAGATTTGCTACAGACAGAAATAAAGAAGACAGGTACTCAGAGGAGAAAAGCAATGTGAGGATGGAGCAGAAAGAGATTTGAAAATTCAGGTCTTGATCACAAGCCAAGGATATTGGCAATCACCAGAAACTAGAAGAAGCAAAAAACAATCTTTTAATTTTCCTAGAACCTCAGAAGGAGTGTGACCAGACAACACCCTGACGTGGGCCTAGCAATACTGATTTCAGACTTCTGCAGCCCAGAACTGTGAAATAGTACATTTCTGTGGCTTTAAGCAACAAAGATTGTAAAAAGTTATTATCACAGCCACTGGACACTAATATATGTTCCTATTTGCTTCTTGAACCTACACCTCAAGCTATTAAGCACTTTTGTTGCCAGCTCTACCTTTTACTTTCCTGGTCTGTAACTTCCTTCTGTAATGTAATTCTAATGAATTCTTGAGTTTTAGAGATTTTATGTGATTTTGAATCAACCAAGTTTTCTTTGTCTGTCTTCTACCTTACTTACATGTTTTGCCTTTTAATGAATGTAATATGAGAGAGGGGATGTAGATGGAGTGTAATATAATTGCCTGTTTTCTTTTTCTACTATTTTTTCTTTTGTGTTTATGTAGATAAATGAACAAAAGATATTCTCCATGGTATTGAGTTCATTTCCTTCTATTTTTTTGACTCTCAAGTTTATGAGCTATGCATGTGTTTGCATGTGCATGCATGGGGTATGTGTGCATATATGTATATGAGATTAACCCAAATATCATACACATTATGTGATTCAATTATACTTTATTTCCCATTTCCCCCCCAAAAGCAGATGTAAAACTATCCTTGATCCCTGAACAGTAAAGCAAAAAGTGTGGTGTCACTGGCCTGTTAACGAAGGGAACATGAAAAGAAGATTCAGTTCAGAGCATGAGAATTATTATAATAATCATAATTATTATTATAACAAAAGTTGCAACTGCAGCAACAACAAAGCGTTTGTGATTTATTTTGGTCAAACTATAATATATGTGTGATACGATTTTCTGCTTCACATTGGTAAAGTGGGTACTATTTGCCTATTTATAAGATTATTAACTGAGATACAGAATCCAACCCAAGCTAACAAAATGGTGAAATTTCAAAATTTAGGTTCAATCCTTTACATCTTACTTTCTCCTTTTCTTTAGCATTTACTTAGAACCAAGAAGAACACACACATAAAAAAAAATAAGAGTTTCTAATTATCTCCTTTCTATGCGTTTCTTTGGTTTAATATCTTAGGTTTCCTTTCAGTTTTGATATTTTCTCTTTTTTAGATATAAATCACGTTAAACAAGTCATGTCCTTGTGATTTACTATGAATATAAATTGGTAAAATGCAGCATTCGCACTCGGATTTTCTGATTTTTTTTTTTATTTAATAGCTGGGATTATTTTGGTTTTATAACCCTCATCCTTACTAGGATCTAGCATTGTCCAAATATATTAAAATATCTCATTTATTAAAGAGAACTGGGTAAATTTGTCTTTACTTTCCCTTTTTTCTTTTCTGTATAAAATTCAATGAGACAAAGGTTGTTAATTGAAACGTTATCTCCAAAGCTGTTAGCTTTTGGGAGTTATAAGCTAAATATATTATTTTAGGAAAATTATGCATAATTGAAATATAGACTAACAAGAGCAATTTTAAAACCAAATGTGAAATACGACTTTATTCCCAGCTTGTACATACATGTCACTTGGAAGGTAAATAGAATTTCATTAGTTCTTTCTTGTTTTTATCACTCTCATCTACTTTCAATGGTCCGAGATAATGAGAAGTTTCAATCCGGAAGCATAAATGAGCCTCTGTTTTATAGGGAGAGATAGAATAAAAATAACTTTTCTTCCCATATACTGTTTTATTATGTTATCCAAATTAATGGACAAGAATATCTAGATAAAAAATTTATTTTTTACTTCTCTCTACCATCAATCTACCTACCATCTATGATTAATTATAGATGTGAATGATTGTCAGGAAAGAAGAAACTTACAAAAAGTTCTCAGTTCCCAGGTCATAGTATCCAGCACAGTCTTGTGTTCACTGTGAATATGTGTAACCCAATTATCTTACATAAGAGAATTGGTACAACTCTACGTTAGCAATCCCATTGTGCAGTATCATTACTTCTACCATACAAGAAACAACTATAATTTGAAATAGAAAGCAAAACGTGTGTGTGTGTATGTGTGTATTTGTGTCTGTAAAATCAAATATCAGGTGGCATCTGAGACACATTTTATCTATGGAATAAGCTCTACAGATCCAAGGTATCATGAAAAGAACTACCTAATATGAAACAGCTAATAACAAATAGGCTTTATACTAGAGAGCCTTTGGTGTAGATGAAGAAACTCACCTGAAACCACAGTATTCTACTCCTTTTCCTATCCATCAGTTTCCCACTCTATGAGTATAATAACATCACCTTACTCATAGAGTTTGTGGCTTATTTATCCATGCAAAATGCTTATGAGAATGCTTGGAATCTATTATCATTTAATAATTATTGTTGTTGTTATATTTAGTATAGTTATATTTCATAACATGAGAAATAGATATTGATACTTTAATTTTATTGATGAGACTCAGAGGTCTTCAGTGACTTACACAATGCCATAATGAAAAGATGGGAAAATAGTAATATAAAATATTTCTCAGTCTCATATTAAAGTTCCATTAATGTACTATACTGTCTCCTATAATATCAGCAAAGGGCTATACATATGCTATTGGCATGTATCCATGGAACTCTCATATCCACCACTCCACATTTGGGCTATCTATAGATTAGTTTTCTCCTGTGTAAAATGATGAGTGGGAAAAAGAAGTGCCTTTTTTCCTCTATGGCATAGAATACTACTTTTCATTTAGTCAAGCAAATCTAACTGGTCTGTCAAAGTTCATTTTATGTGTACACTTTTTAGCAGCTTAAAAATTCCTTTATAAACTCTCAGCAGTAAAAATATTTTTTGCTAAAGGTCTTCACTTGATTAGTCTTTATGCTGCCTTGAAACATTCTGCAGTAGTATAGAGAAAAAGGAATGTAGCTTCCCTGGGAATCACTGAAGAAACTTGTAATTGATGTTCAAATGGGTAATTTTTACTCATTCCATGTAAAGAAAGAAAAAATTAAGGAGAATTGTTGGTACTTGGAGTTATTTCTTTCTTGATCTGAAAGAGGGAGAAAAGATTCACACTAATTTTTTACATAGAACAGAAATCAGACTTAAAAAGAAAAGTGCTTCTTTTCTCTATTGGCAGCTCCTTGATTTTGTTAAGTTGGCACTTGTTCTGTTTTTCCTATTAAGTCGTTCATCAGTTGGTAAACTGGGGTTTATTACAGACATATCAAGTGAGAGCAAAAACCGGAAGATATCCAGGAACCTGAATACAGCAATGGATCAAGCAACTTTGCAGAAACATGTTTACAGGGGGCACAGACAGGGCAGCTAAATACCACTCCAGATGGACTTACACTTGTGAGTTTATTTTCCTCTGACTATTTTAAGTAATATTTAGATTCCTCAAAACACTCTGAGGTTGGGAACACCCTTTCTTATCATTTCATTTTTAATTATGGAAAAAGAGAAAGATCAAAATTAGCATTCACATAAAAATGGGAGTAATGGCAAAGAGGCATGGTTAGGTTCATCCCTATAAGCAAAGGTGCTCCTTATAAAGGAGATTGGACAGCACTCATTTTGTCTCACTAAAGAAAACTGCTGTTAACATAATCCATTTTCAAACTGTTCAATACAAATATAAAGGGTACAGTCTTAGTGGGCCATGAGGAGGCCCAGGGATGATACACAGAAAACTTGAGAATACAGATTCTGTAAAAAAGAAATTCTTTTATCCCTGGACAAAGAGATAGAGCAAGATAGCTATACAGAAGCCTCCAGTGATCATCCCTTCCCACAGTAACACCAAATTGAGCAAAAGTCCATAAAAAAGTACCTTCATGAGAAGGAAGAGTCAGGTGAGCACTGAAGAGAGTAGGCACTGAAGAGAGAAGGAGAAACAGGTTTTAATTACCTATAATATCCCTCTCCCACACCCCAGCAGTAGCCAAATGGTATGGATATACAATGTGTATGCTTGATGGAGAGAGAGCACAGTGATTATGAAATTTTGCATTGGAACTCAGTGCTGCCATGTCACAGTGGAAAACAAGACAGGACAGAACTCAGCCGGCACCCCTGGAGGGAGCATTTAGACCATCCCTAATGGGAAATGAATCATGTATTTCAGTAGTCACAGCCTGAGTTCCAGTAAGCCCAGCACCAAAAAAAAGTGCTCTGGGATTCTAAATAAATTTGAAAGTAATCTAGGCCACAAAGCTTGCAAGTCCAGAGCAAGTCTTGGTGCTGTGCTGGGCTCTGCGTCAGTAGATGAAGCATTCCTACAACTCTAGGGAGACACCAGCTGGGGCAGCCAAGGAAATGCTTGTGCCATCCCTCTCCAAACTCCATGCAGCACAGCTAGCAGCTCCAGTAGAGATTCTTCTCTCCTGTAATCAGTGCTACGCTGGCTTCAGGCGCAAACCTAACCCTAACCCTAACCCCTATTATTTCTTCTATTTCAGTGAAGAATGTCATGGTATTTTGATAGGGATTATAGTAAATCTGTTGATTGCTTTGCATAATATGGATATTTTAACAATATTAATTCTTTTTTTTTTAAATTTTTTATTGCATTTTAGGTTTGGGGGTACGTGTGCAGAACATGCAAGACAGTTGCACAGGTACACACATGGCAGTGTGTTTTGCTTCCTTTCTCCCCTTCACCCACATTTGGCATTTCTCCCCAAGCTATCCCTCCCCACCTCCCCCTCCCGCTGACCCTCCCCTTTTCCCACCAATAGACCCCAGTGTTTAGTACTCCCCTCTCTGTGTCCATGTGTTCTCATTTTTCATCACCCGCCTATGAGTGAGAATATGCGGTGTTTCATTTTCTGTTCTTGTGTCAGTTTGCTGAGAATGACGTTCTCCAGATTCATCCATGTCCCTACAAATGACACAAACTCATCATTTCTGATTGCTGCATAATATTCCATAGTGTATATGTGCCATATTTTCCCAATCCAGTATATCATCGATGGGCATTTGGGTTGATTCCAGGCCTTTGCTATTGTAAACAGTGCTGCAATGAACATTCGTGTGCGTGTGTCCTTATAGCAGAACGATTTATAGTCCTTTGGATATATACCCAGTAATGGGATTGCTGGGTCAAACGGAATTTCTATTTCTAAGGCCTTGAGGAATCGCCACACTGTCTTCCATAATGGTTGAACTAATTTACACTCCCACCAACAGTGTAAAAGTGTTCCTTTTTCTCCAGCATCTGTTGTCTCCAGATTTTTTAATGATCGCCATTCTAACAGGTGTGAGATGGTATCTCAATGTGGTTTTGATTTGCATCTCTCTGATGACCAGTGATGATGAGCATTTTCTCATATGATTGTTGGCCTCATATACGTCTTCTTTCATAAAGTGTCTGTTCATATCCTTTGCCCACTTTTGAATGGGCTTGTTTGTTTTTTTCCTGTAAATCTGTTTGAGTTCTTTGTAAATTCTGGATATCAGCCCTTTGTCAGATGGGTAAACTGCAAAAATGTTTTCCCATTCTGTTGGTTGCCGTGCAGAAGCTGTGGAGTTTGATTAGGTCCCATTTGTCTATTTTGGCCTTTGTTGCCAATGCTTTTGGTGTTTTGTTCATGAAGTCCTTGCCTACTCCTATGTCTTGGATGGTTTTGCCTAGATTTTCCTCTAGGGTTTTTATGGTGCCAGGACTTATGTTTAAGTCTTTAATCCATCTGGAGTTAATTTTGGTGTAAGGTGTCAGGAAGGGGTCCAGTTTCTGCTTTCTGCACATGGCTAGCCAGTTTTCCCAACACCATTTGTTGAACAGAGAATCCTTTCCTCATTGCTTGTTTTTGTCAGGTTTATCAAAGATTGTATGGTTGTAGATATGTTGTGTTGCCTCCGATGCCTCTGTTCTGTTCCATTGGTCTATATCTCTGTTTTGGTACCAGTACCATGCTGTTTTGATTACTGTCACCTTGTAGTATAGTTTGAAATCCAGTAGTTTGATGCCCCCTGCTGTGTTCTTTTTGCTTAGAATTGACTTGGCTATGCGGGCTCTCTTTTGGTTCCATATGAAGTTCATGGTGTTTTTTTCCAGTTCTGTGAAGAAAGTCAATGGTAGCTTGATGGGGATAGCATTGATTCTGTAAATTACTTTGGGCAGTATAGCCATTTTCACGATATTAATTCTTCCTAGCCATGAACATGGAATGTTTCTTCATCTGTTTGTGTCCTCTCTTATTTCATTGAGCAGTGGTTTGTAGTTTTCCTTGAAGAGGTCCCTTACGTTCCTTGTGAGTTGTATTCCAAGGTATTTTATTCTTTTTGTAGCAATTGTGAATGGCAGTTCATTCTTGATTTGGGTCTCTTTAAGTCTGTTATTGGTGTAGTGGAAGGCTTGTGATTTTTGCACATTGATTTTATATCCTGAGACTTTGCTGAAGTTGCTTATCAGTTTCAGGAGTTTTTGGGCTGAGGCAATGGGGTCTTCTAGGTATACTATTATGTCGTCTGCAAATAGAGACAATTTGGCTTCCACCTTTCCTATTTGAATACCCTTTATTTCTTTTCTTTGCCAGATTGCTGTGGCTAGAACTTCCAGTACTATATTGAATATGAGTGGTGAAAGAGGGCATCCTTGTCTAGGATTTCAAAGGGAATGCTTCCAGTTTTTGCCCATTAAGTATAATATTGGCTGTTGGTTTGTCATAAATACCTTTTATTACTTTGATATACGTTCCATTGATACCGAGTTTTTTGAGGGCTTTTAGCATAAAGGGCTGTTGAATTTTGTCAAATGCCTTCTCTGTGTCAATTGAGATAATCATATGATTTTTGTTTTTGGTTCTGTTTATGTGGTGAATTATGTTTATAGACTTGCGTACGTTGAATAGCCTTGCATCCCCGGGTTGAATCCTACTTGATCATGATGAATAAGTTTTTTGATTTGCTGTTGCAATCGGCTTGCCAATATTTTATTGAAGATTTTTGCATCTATGTTCATCATGGATATTGGCCTGAAGTTTTCTTTTCTTGTTGGGTCTCTGCTGGGTTTTGGTATCAGGATGATATTGGTCTCATAGAATGATTTGGGAAGGATTCCCTCTTTTCGGATTATTTGGAATAGTTTCAGAAGGAATGGTACCAGCTCCTCTTTGTGTGTCTGGTAGAATTCGGCTGTGAACCCGTCTGGACCTGAACTTTTTTTGTGTGGTAGGCTCTTAATTGCTGCCTTGACTTCTGACCTTGTTATTGGTCTATTCACAGTTTTAGCTTCCTCCTGGTTTAGGCTTGGGAGGAACAGGAGTCCAGGAATTTATCCATTTCTTCCAGGTTTACTAGTTTATGTGCATAGAGTTGTTTGTAATATTCTCTGATGATGGTTTGAATTTCTGTGGAATCTGTGGTGATTTCCCCTTTATCATTTTTTATTGCATCTATTTGGTTGTTCTCTCTTTTCTTTTTAATCAATCTGGCTAGTGGTCTGTCTATTTTGTTGATCTTTTCAAAAAACCAGTTCTTGGATTTATTGATTTTTTGGAGGGTTTTTCGTGTCTCAATCTCCTTCAGTTCAGCTCTGAACTTAGTTATTTCTTGTCTTCTGCTGGGTTTTGAGTTTTTTTGATCTTGCTCCTCTAGCTCTTTCAATTTTGACGATAGGGTGTCAATTTTGGATCTCTACATGCTTCTCATATGGGCACTTATTGATATATACTTTCTTCTAGAGACTGCTTTAAATGTGTCCCAGAGATTCTGGCATGTTGTGTCTTCATTCTCATTGGTTTCGAAGAATTTGTTTATTTCTGCCTTCATTTCGTTGTTTATCCAGTCAACATTCCAGAGCCAGTTTTTCAGTTTCCATGAAGCTCTGCAGTTCTGGGTTGGTTTCTGAATTCTGAGTTCTAACTTGATTGCACTATGGTCTGAGAGACTGTTTTTATGATTTCAGTTGTTTTGCATTTGCTGAGCAGTGCTTTATTTCCAATTATGTGGTCAATTTTAGAGTAGGTGTGATGTGGTGCTGAGAAGAATGTCTATTCTGTGGATTTGGGGTGGAGAGTTCTGTAAATGTCTATCAGGTTTGCTTGCTCCAGTTCTGAGTCAAGCCCTGTATATCCTTGTTGATTTTCTGTCTGGTTGATCTGTCGAATATTGACAGTGGGGTGTTAAAGTCTCCCACTATTATTGAGTGGGAGTCTAAGTCTCTTTGTAAGTCGTTAAGAACTTGCCTTATGTATCTGGGTGCACCTGTATTGGGTCCATATATGTTTAGGATCGTTAGCTCTTCTTGTTGTATCGATCCTTTTACCATTATGTAATGGCCTTCTTTGTCTCTTTTGATCTTTGTTGCTTTAAAGTCTATTTTATCAGAGATGAGAATTGCAACTCCTGCTTTTTTTTGCTCTCCATTGCTTGGTAAGTCTTCCCCCATCCCTTTCTTGTGAGCCTTTGTGTATCCTTGCATGTGAGATGGGTTTCCTGGATACAGCACACCGATGGGTTTTGGATTTTTCTCCAATTTGACAGTCTGTGTCTTTTGATTGGTGCATTTAGTCCATTTACCTTTAGGGTTAATAATGTTATGTGTGAATTTGATACTGCCATTTTGATGCTAGCTGGCTGTTTTGCCCATTAGTTGTTGTAGATTCTTCATTATGTTGATGCTCTTTAGCATTTAGTGTGATTTTGGAATGGCTGGTACTGGTTTTTCCTTTCTATGTGTAGTGCCTCTTTCAGGAGCCCTTGTAAAGCAGGCCTCGTGGTGAAAAAATCTTCGAGTACTTGCTTGTTTGCAAAGGATTTTATTTTTCCTTCACTTCTGAAGCTCAGTTTGGCTGGAAATGAAATTCTGGGTTGAAAGTTCTTTTCTTTAAGGATGTTGAATATTGGCCTCCACTGTCTTCTGGCTTGTAGAGTTTCTGCTGAGAGATCTGCTGTGAGTCTGATGGGCTTCCCTTTGTGGGTTACCCGACCTTTCTCTCTGGCTGCCCTTAGTATTCTCTCCTTTATTTCAACCTTGTTGAATCTGACGATTATGTGCCTTGGGGTTGCTCTTCTTGCGGAATATCTTTGTGGTGTTCTCTATATTTCCTGCAACTGAGTGTTGGCCTGTCTTGCTATGTGGGGGAAATTTTCCTGGATAATGTCCTGAAGAGTATTTTCCAGCTTGGATTCATTCTCTTCCTCACATGCTGGTACGCCTATCAAACGTAGGTTAGGTCTCTTCACATAGTCCCACATTTCTTGGAGACTTTGTTCATTCCTTTTTGCACTTTTTTCTCTGATCTTGGTTTCTCATTTTATTTCATTGAGTTGATCTTCGACTTCAGATATTCTTTCTTCTGCTTGGTCAGTTCGGCTATTGAAGCTTGTGCATGCTTCGCGAAGTTCTCGTATTGTGTTTTTCAGCTCCTTTAATTCATTCATATTCCTCTCTAAGTTATCCATTCTTGTTATCATTTCCTCAAATCTTTTTTCATATCTTTTTTCAAGGTTCTTAGTTTCTTTGCACTGATTTAAAACATGTTCTTTTAGCTCACAAAAGTTTCTCATTATCCACCTTCTGAAGTCTAAATCCGTCATTTTGTCACAGTCATTCTCCATCCAGCTTTGTTCCCTTGCTGGTGAGGAGTTTTGGTCCTTTCTAGGAGGCGAGGTGTTCTGGTTTTGGGTGTTTTCCTCCTTTTTGCTCTGGTTTCTTCCCATCTTTGTGGATTTATCCACCTGTCGTCTGTGTAGTTGCTGACTTTTCGATTGGGTCTCTGAGTGGACACCCAGATTGTTGATGATGAAGTATTTCCGTTACTTGGTTTTCCTTCTACCAGTCTAGCCCCTTCACTGTACGACTGCTGAGGTCCACTCCAGGCCCTGCTTGTCTGGGGTGCACCTATAGCAGCTGCGGAACAGTAAGGGATGCTACCAGTTTCTTTTTCTGCTATCTGTGTTCCAGAATGATGCCTGCCAAATGTCAGTCTTTTGGATATAGAGGGGTCAGGGAGCTGCTTGAGGAGACAGTCTGTACTTTATAGGAGCTCAAGTGGTGAGCTGTGAGCTCTGTTGTTCATTCAGGCCTTTAGGCTGCTATGTTTAATTCTGCTGCAACAGAACTCATAAGAAAACCCTTTTTTTTCTCAGATGCTCTGTCTGGGGGGGTTGGGGCTTTGTTTTTGAGTGTCCGTTTTTCTGTCCTGCCCAGCTCGGAGGCAGTCTAGTCACTATTTGCCTGCCGAGGCTCTGCCCTGCTCATGTGAGGGTCGCCCTGTTGCTGCAGGCTCTGCCCTTCTGCTGCGGTCTCTGCCCTGCTGCCACGGGCTGCGCCCTGTGGCGGAGTCTCCCTGTTGTAGCGGGTTGCCTTGGCAACGGCAGGCTGCATCAGCAATGGGCATGTACCTCAGTAGGGGCGGTTTGCCTCAGTAATGGCGAATGCCTGTCTCCCACGGAGCTGCGGCCTCAGGGAATCCCTCCACAGGGAGCATTTGGAATCACCATTTTGTTTGTCCCACTGCGCTACCCAAAACGCTGTGACCCTGGAATCTCCTGGGCTGGCTCACTGTCCAAGTCCTGTTCAGTCTCAAGTTCAGCCCTCCCAAGTCTCAGGTTGCCGGCCCAACAGGGCACCCGGACGAGCGCGCTTTGTGTGGAGCACTGTGTAGCGCTGCCACAGCGTGGGCAGCCACCGCACTAGCCGCCAGCTGCACCAGCCAAAAGCTCTGCCTGGCGTCCCACATCACCTCTATACCTAGGAATTTCCCCGTTCTGTGGGAAACAAAGATCCGTCTGGAAATGCAGCCCTGACTCACCCCCTTTGTGCATTGATCGTGAGCTTCAATCCTGGGTTGTTCTCACAGCGCCATCTTGTGTCCTCTCCACAATATTAATTCTTTCAATTTATTAACATAGAATATCTTTTCATATTTTTGTATCCTCTTCAATTTCTTGCTTTAATATTTTATAGTTTTACTGTAGAGATTTTTTTTTTACTTCTTTGAATAAGGTTATTCCTAGGTATTTAATTTTATTGGTTGCTATTATAATTGGGATTCCTTTGTCTCTAGATGACCCTAATGCAGTGGCTACTTTTAGTGAAATTAGAGAAATTTACTTTTCTAAAATAAATTACACAGGTGATTCTAGTAGGAATTTCTATCTAAAAAAAGATGGAGAGAAAAACACTACCACCACTACCTACATTATAGATTAAACCATGGGATTGCCTCCCCTCTAGTGTCTTCCATTCTACTCATTTCATGCAGTCTCCATACTGTGACAAACAGGATATATTTTTCTTGTTTATACCTGTATCTTGAGAGATGAGCACTCTGCCTTGTATGTAAAAAGAGCTCAATATCTGTTGAGTGGGGTCTCACTCTATAAACATATTACACCTAGAATGCTTCTAAGCCCATTCATTGGAAAGAGGCTTGTAGACACGTAATTTCACATGCAGATCATAGAACTCACCCTGGGGATCCTGTCCAGGACAGGGAAGGGCTTTGCTGTTTCTGATGGTGGAGTTCTGGCATCAGATCTTCTTTGATGTGCCACTCTGGACTGCCCTTAAGTGAAAATGAACACTGCAAATAAGCAGCTTTGCATTGTGATGGCAGAGCTATGCAGGAAAAATGACACAGCCCATTACTAACCAATTCCAGGTGCTTGCTAAATTTGTTTCAGTCTCTTTATTTCCTCAGCATCAGCACACAGTAAACCTAGTATTACGCAATTTAAGAAATTCAGAGAATAAGTGTCTTCTCTTAAATACCTTTGAGAAAATTAGCAGTATTATTTTCTCATCTGTGTATAGGTATACTATAATTTATAATATACCTGTAGATAGTCTGAAAACCTAGACTTTGAGAATAAACATTCATTTGTAAGTGATAATTTTTTTGAGTGATACAAATATATATTATTTCAAGATGATAATAAAAACTGTATATGGAGTCATGGCTATTTAAGAACACTTAAAATTGATAAAGCATTAAAGTTTAAAAATTAATATCTGATTTATAATTTACATAAAACAGAAAAAGGATGCAAATTATATATATTGAATGATTGCCATTTTTATTAGAAAAAAAATTACCTGCATTTAGAAAAATATGCTAATATTAAATACAATAAGATATATAGATAAAGGTAAAATATATAAATAGATAAAGGTAAATATGATAAAATATATAGATAAAAGTAAATACAATAAAATATATAGACAAAACTATGGTTCTACAACTATTACTCAAGGTCATACATGTGACCTACAAATGTGTATGATATAATATATATTTGAGTTCATTAAAGGCAAGAGTGCTCATCTCTCAAGATGCAAACATAAGCAAAACAATAAATTCTGTTTGTCACAGTGTGGAGACTGCATGGCATGAGTAGAATGGGAGACAGTGGTAGAATGGAGGTACTCCTGTGGTTCAAGGTTACACATATGACCTTGAGTAATAGTTGTGGAACTGTAGTTAATTTGTCCATCTATATTTGTTTTGTAATTATTCTACGATGAAAGTGAATTACCTTCAACGTTACTGCAAAATTGTCCTGAATTAAAAATTTGAAGAACAGTCCCTTTGAATTGTTGGAAGTTTGTTGCAAAGGTTTTGTTAAAAATTTAGAATATCTCTCTTTTCTCCTTCTAGCAGTAATTTTTAAGGAAAGTAACTATACAGAAATAAAGAAAGTAATTATATGGATAAAAAAAAGACATCTTGTTTTCCCTTCTATCTCTGTAGAGTAGTTAAGCCCGAATAACAAAATGGCTTTATGAGTTCAGATGAAATTACTGGAAACTTCAGAAATGCCTTTTCTCATTATCTCCCTCAGACATCTGTCAATATTTATCTGTTAATAGACTAAGCAATCAGCCTCAGTAAATAAAATATCAGATCCAAATATATATGTATATCATTCAAGCAATTAAAAGGATGAATGGGATAGGATATTAGCATGACAATTATGTCCAATACCCTTATTTATATGGATCTTTCCTTCACAAAAGTTAATAGGTGGTGAAACTAGCAGGCTGAACAGTAATGACATTCCTCAGGTTTTCTCCCTATTGTCAACCACTTCACTGATATTTCTGAGAAGCTTAATTGGAAACAAATTCAAAAATAAACAGACTCTAATTTATAAAAGTAAGACAAAAATCAAAGTCAGCTCTAAAACACAACTGGCACTCACATTGAAGCCATAAGCTTTCTGTGACCTGGGTAGAGTCTGACGTTGCTTTTTTGACAGTAAAGTGGGTTATAATTGCCTACTGGCCTTTGACTTACTAGTTGTATAAACTTGAGGAGGTTACTTAAACTCTTTGAAGCATATGCAAAACATTTGCAGAATGAGATTATGAAATCAATTTCATAATTTCAGAGTGAGACCCTGCCTCTTAAAGAAAAAACGGTCAGATTCTCAGGGCTGGTCAGGTTTCTGCCCACTTTGGACCCACATGAGGATGCCACGGAGTGCACCTATCGCCTGGTGGACAGTCCTGGGAGAACCTCAGGCTTCCTTGGCAACAAAGGCAGAGCCGGGCAGCAATGAATTTGGAGACTCTGGAGCCTCAGTTCCCTTCTGTGTGTTGATGAGACAATGAGAGTTTACACTGTATGCTGGACAGCATTCCCGCTTATCAATAAATTTCTTTGTTTTAAAAACAAAACAAAACAAAAACCATGCTGATATGGTTTGGCTGTGTCCCCACCCAAACCTCATTTTGAATTGTAGCTCCCATAATTCCCACATGTTGTGGGACGGACCTGTTGGGAGACAGTTGAAGCATGGGGGTCATTTTCCCATACTGTTCTTGTAGTAGTGAGTAAATCTCAGGAGATCTGATGGTTTTATAAAAGGTTTCCCCTTTTCTTGGCTCTCATTCTTTCTTGCCTGCCACTATGGTAAACATGCCTTTAGCCTTCCACCATTATAGTGATTGTGAGGACTCCCAGCCACATGGAACTGTGGGTCTGTTAAACCTCATTTGCTTTATAAATTCTTCAGTCTCAGGTATGTTTTTATCAGCAGAGTGAAAACAGACTAATACTTGGTGTGATAATTTTGAAATAAAACGTGTAAATTACTCAGTACAATGTCTAACATTAAATAGGTTAAAGCATATTACTTAGATCCTCTTAAGGATATCTCTGAATATCCTTAAATGGATTGAAGTAATATGGTTTAAACTATTTAATATTTTAATGGATATTTTGGATATTTTAATCCAAATGAAATGCACTTAGTAAATGATCAGTGCCTTAAAAGCAATAGTCCTTCATCTATTCTATAAGATGATGATGATAATTTAAAATATTAAATAGTCTCAGCATTTGAACAAACCTATAGTTTCCTGCAGCTGTGGAATTGAATATGTTCGTATTAGCTCTGGCTCTACTTTTGAAAGATGTAGTTTCCGAGATGTTTTTCCTTCTCTATGCATGTCGTAAAATGGTGGTTGGGAATGCAAATTACAAAATGCAGGAAAATACAGAAAATGGAGAATGGTTTCACAATAAAATATTGTTTCAAAATTTGAATCATCAGCTGTGCTACTTCTTTGAATATCCACACCTTATCTTAAAATTGGTAATAATTATAATAACTTCACATGGTTTTTGAGAAGATAGGAAAAGTACTTATCACGTAATAGGTTACTAATAACTCAGCTCCCTACTAATACTCTACCTACCTTTCACACAAAACAAACAAACAAACAAACAAAAACTTCAAATTAAAATTGTCTTCAGCAGCTGGCTCTAGCCTAGGTTAATGAGATATTATAGAAGAGAAAAATAGTTAATCATACATTATAATTTAGTAACCCCAATCTGAAAAATTTCTGAAGGGCAACATGGAAGAAAGATTTGGTAGAATATTTATTGTTTCAGTAATTTAAATGTATATAATTATTGTCTAAGTATCTTAAGGCAATGAAAACAAAACATAACAACTTTTGAAGTATTGATAAAATATCTATTAATATTTTATGTTTTAATGAATTTACATCAACCAGTCATTGCTTATATGATACAACGCTGAATAGAATACTTCAGTAAATGTGAATTATATTGCACTAAATTCAAGGGCATTTTTTTTTTGAAACTGGTATAGAGCTTTTCCTATAAAGTAAAAAAATGCGGGTGATGAAAAATGGGAACACATGGACACAGAGAGGGGAGTACTAAACACTGGGGTCCATAGGGGGGAAAAGGGGAGGGCCAGTGGGAGGGGGAGGTGGGGAGGGATTACCTGGGGAGAAATGCCAAATGTGGGTGAAGGGGAGAAAGCAAACAAAGCACACTGCCATGTGTGTACCTATGAAACTGTATTGCATGCTCTGCACATGTACCCCAAAACCTAAAATGCAATAAAAAAAAATCAGTTTTATCTATATAATGCTTTTCACAACCTACAACAAAAACTTTTTAGTTTTTTAAAGATGAAGCTTCTTTCTAAAATACTAGAAGATAAAATGGTTAATACAGACAAAAAGACTAAATTCATCAAAAACATTAAAAAAATGCTTGGAATACGTGCTTGTTGCTTTGGTATCATTAATTTTATTAAAAAAATGACAATTTTTTTAATGTAATGAAAGTATAGCGGTGGCTATCCTTAGAATACATTTAATATGATTATAAACTTGGATTCTAAGATCTGAGATCAAATTCTAACACCTATATTAATTCTGCATCTGACTTCTTAGTGCTGTCTTGAATACAAGAAGAAGCTCTTTTCCAGATTCCATTATTTGAATCCTACACCTCAGAGGAGTCAAGGAGTAGCAGTCACATAAAATCAAATTTGTGAAAGTTACTCTCACATATAAAACTACAACACATATTTGAATTGGAAATTCTTCATGGACATGTCACAATATTGTGATAAAACTGTAAAATGTAGTTTTGCTACATGTATAAGTTATCATGTCATATACCAGATTGTTTAAGGTATATCATATCATAAGGTATATCATATATCATATCTCTTAGTATTGATATATTAATACTAAGAAAAGAGATATGAAACTTATTATCTAGGCCAGGCGCAGTGGCTCACGCCTGTAATCCCAGCACTTTGGGAGGCCAAGGCAGGTCGATCACGAGGTCAAGAGATCGAGACCATCCTAGTCAACATGGTGAAACCCCATCTCCACTAAAAATACAAAAAAATTAATTAGCCAGGCATGGTGGTGCATGCCTGTAATCCTAGCTACTCAGGAGGCTGAGGCAGCTCGAACCCAGGAGGCGGAAGTTGCAGTGAGCCGAGATTGTGCCATTGCACTCCAGCCTGGGTAACAAGAACAAAACTCAGTCTCAAAAAAAAAAAAAAAAAAATAGAAACATTATCTAATCAGTAGTAGAATTTAATTGCAAAATCAGACTGACATCATATTTAATCACTATGTAAATTCTGATATCAAATTATAAACATTGATTGATATGCATTTTAATAACTTGGGAATCTTTTTAAGACACAGATTTTAATTTAGTGGTTCTAGGATCCACATTTCTAGCAGACACCTAGGTAATGCCTAAGTCATTGGCCTGAGAAGTGGCTTTGAATCTGATGATTCTACTCTACTACTATCAATAGCACTCTCTGCCATGATGAAACTGTTCTATGTCTGTACTGTTCAGCAGGATGCCCATAGCCACATGTGGCTATTAAGCTTTTGAAAAGTGTCTTGTGTAACTGAGACTGAATTTTAATTTAATTCATTTTAAATTTGTATTTAAATAGCCTAGCCATGTGAGACTAGTGGTTATTGGTTATTGGG